TGTTAAGTGTTTGAAGAATAAAATTTAAAATAATCTAATAAGACTCATATTCTCAAAACAAAAAATTGTTCAAGACACACTTTTTTGTACTAATTGTAAGCATACAAAGTGATCAAGAGTGATATCTGTGAATAAATAAACTGCAATAATGATAAAATGATCGTGGATAATTGTCAAGATACAAAGTGTAATTGGAGTACGACGAGGAAGTTATAGGGCCAGGGTCGCCTCCTAACCTTTTTGCAGCAGCTTTACTCATGTGAAAAGCGGCGAAAAATTCTCTGATCTGCTTACAATGCGTGCAATCACATTTACGCTGCCAGTGGAGCGTTTCAAACAAGACATATTTGTGCGGTCGGTTATTTTTCGATCGAGCGCCTTTTTGTCAATTGCATGGTGCGGAATCTCCGCTTGAAAAGTGACAGGAACAGGAATATAGTTTTGTGAAGAGAATCGGGGCGCTCGGGGGTTATATTTGTCACCCCCGCCGTCCAGAATATAATGAAATGTATTTATTGCTCTTCAGAATGACCTTGGAACACCTGCCTTGTGCGGCTGAAAACACGCTGCAGCCCAAAAACCCTTTCCCTTTCGGAACGAATTTACTGGAAATTCACAACTTAATTCTCTTCCATGAAAGCGTATTTTCATTTTGAAAACGTATTTTAACTTCGAAATAAATGATGTTTTTTTTAATAATTCGGAGGCATTATATAAATAATTATTTCATTCATTAACAAGTCACACTTAAAATATTTATCTAAAAATATCGCGATGCAATGCCAATTTGAAATTGTTTTTTTTTTGCGAGCTAATGAATATTTCCTTATAGCAATTTGCTCCAGTCTAGATTATTCTTCTTTTGGGCTCTCTAATTCTTTATCCAATAGTAACCCAAACCATCGGATAAATAGCAGGTAGCTAGAGTGAGTAACAAAATACTCGTCCATTATATTGGATTGCACCCTCCCATGGTATTCCTTTCAAACATGACAGTCAGACCTTTTCTTGGTCCATTTCTAGTGAAAATGCTGCACATTATGTTATGCGAAACACAATAAGCTACCTGACTCCCTGCATCTCTTTTTGTCATCCACCTATTATGGACGACACTGCGCCGTTGGAGATCAAATGTGTCCAAGAGTGCAGCAAAACAAACCAAAAAGGTATATTTTGATCAATATCTGAGATAGCCCTTGACTTGTTTTCTACTTCAGCAAATTTGAGGGAATTTCATTTTTAATGAATAACAAGCTCAGATGGATAAAATATAATTATGTTAATTTAAAGAAAATTAAACAAATAAATTCCGAAAACACAAAACAGCCAAGCTCTTTTTAAGAAATTAAGTTTTTAACGCTTTCGCTACAGAGGTTATGTTTTAATTTCATTTTCTTCCTTATAACTTTTTTAAGGATCAAACAAAATCGACAGATAGTTGTCCGTTATAATGTTGAACAGGTCAAGACGCGCCAATTAATTATCAACCGCCGTTGCTGGGAACCGGTGTGTCTGAGCGCCGAAAACTAACACCTGTCTCCTTTTGCTATTGTATGTATATGAGAAGGGGTGTGCGAAAGTATAGTCAGGGGCCATCACGTTTATTATATTTCTTTCTTTCTCCCCGCCTGCACCCGGCGCTTGCGAATTCATCACGGTAAAAACCAGGCGGCACTTCCTGTCGAGAGTCGCTTTTGCGATACACGCGTCCGTTTCTCCGGTTTTTATTTTGCTGGAAGCGCCGCCGCTACTTCGGAAGTGGCCGCAGTGCTCTCTGTATGATGACTTTGGCATGGCTTCATTTAAAAAGTGTAAATGTGATACCGCAGCACTAGCAGTAGCAGCAGTCGGTGCAAATTTTCAACTCAGACGAAGGACAGCTGCATTTCGCAATTGTGCTACGTGCGGTGCATAAATTTAAAAATAATAAGAATTCAAGCTTTTTCAGTCTTCATAGAAGCTTCATTTTTTTTAAACATATTAGCCTTAGAAAAAAAATATATCTCCAAATTTATGTCAAAAATTTAAAATAATTAATTTTTAAACACTATTAATATGACAATAAATAAATAAATAAAATTTTCAAAATAAATTATTACAAATATTTAATTTCTTTAATACTTGTTTTAAGGTTTTAAATATTGAATAAGTACATTAAAATATTGAATAATTTTAAATGTTGTGATGGAACAACAAAGTATATGCACGGAACAATAAAAATTAGGTGTTCATCCATTGTTCTTTCTCTTTTTTTTAATTATTACTTGAAATTTATTTATTGAAATAAATTATAAATACTTAAAATTTAAGTAGCCTCAAACTTTTTACGCATTTTATTCAAACTCCAGGAAAAACAGGTGGTCAAAACATGAGCAATTATTAAGCTTGCAGCAGATCTTGGCCGGCCATGAAGCCAAAAAGAATCATGAACGCATGTTCATAATTTCCGCATTTTCAAGCACTTTTTCGCTCTCCTCCACGACTCGGGTCTTGTGCGTCTCTTGGAAAAAGCTTGTTTCTTGCTATCCGCCTCTTTTAGGTGTACTTTTCAACGTAATATATTGTAAATTATATGAGCAGTCGCAACTTGTCACACTTGAGACTATCCCTCACCAGCAAATATTTGAATTCTCTCTCAGCGCGGTGGGCTTATCTGCCGCGCGTTTATTTTATGATTGATGGCATAATTTCGGCTAAACAAATAATACCTCATGGTATGCACATCAAATAAATCAAAGACAAGTTTCAAATTCTGCAACACGCCAATTCTCATGAAAAAGGGAAAATCAGAGTAGAAAATGTGCGTTTACATAAGTTACTGTTTAATGCTCTTATAAAAAAATTAGGGAATTGAAAAAAATTAGCTGCAAACTCTACGTAAGAATAGCACTTATGTGTTCATTACGGTTCATTATGTGTTGCATTATAGGGCATTAATTATGCGATTGCTTTCTGCACCATTGGCTTATTAGCAATTGAACAAATTTAAATAATAAGAATAATAAGATGCAATTTTATTTCATCGCTTCTATTTGGTCTCAGAACTGAATTTTTTTAGGAAATATTTGGCTGAAGTAGATTTGCTAAAACAAAAACAAAAATCTTTCTTGAGAAATACAATAAATAAAAATATACTATTTGTTTAGCTAAAACTTATTTCCCCAAATTGTTATAAATGTGCACGTGTGTTTCTGTTTTAATTAATGTCTTGCACAATTTCAGTAAAATGCGTCAAAACCTTTTGATATTTATTTTTCTATAATAATGAGATAATAAAATAATCGTAAAAAATAAATAATAGAAACCTCCTTTTTTTACTTGATGATTCAATAATCATAATGCCATCCAAACAAATTGCAAAACTTGAACAAATTTATAATAAAAACACAGTATTGACAGAAGAGATATAAGTCCCCCAACACAAAAATTATGTTAAAGATTTTAATTTTATTCATCAGTTGATCGTCTTCGCTTACAAAAAAGCTGTTGGCTCATCTTTTGATCGAAAACCCACTTAGTTTGGCCGAGCCAGACTGAGTGGCTGTAAGTTGCGGATTTTTTTTATAAACCTGATAAAAACATTAATAAAATAATTATTTGACATCAAATGGCAGCAAAATTAGAATCAAATAAACAAGACTGTCGTTTGAAGAGGCTTTCCATATTATGACGAATGAATGCAACACTTTTTTTGTGCTCATATGAAAGACTTGCATTCACTCTTCAAACAGACTCAAAAAATAATAATGATAATGGAATATTATCAGCGTAAGGCGGCTCTGTGTCTGTGAAGTCTGGAAATTCCCTCAAACTCCTCCGACAATTTTATGGCAGGATGCGAAAATTTCAGCACCTCTTTCTGTCAACGGTTTCATTCCAAACGTCATTTTGTTTGGTTTTCTTTTGCAATTGGCGCGACAACCACATTATTTGTCACCAACTCAAAAATAGCTGAACAAAAAATCACGCGTTCTTATACTGTATAATCTTTATGGTGTCTGGATTTCCGTTCTCGTCAATTGCTTGCTCTATATGCACGTCACACGCACTGCAGTGGAGTATTAGTTCTATTTAAATTCCGCGCAAATGTAACCAATTATTTCGCATCTGTTGGTTCATGATCCAACGATTGGAGTGCACAACAAACCCCTTTAATAAAACGTGAGGGTTGGCGTTGAGGTTATTGACCGAAAGCAGAGTTCGGCGCTAATGTAATGGAAAAGGTGCACGCCATGCAACTGCTTTGTCTCGTGATGGCGAAAGAGTGAGGGGTGTCATGCTAATCAAGGAGAGAAGGCGTGAGACATTTTCTAACTAATCGTCAATATAAAAGCAGATTAATAAAATCTAATTTTTCAATTAACGACGGTGTATAGTTGCAAATTTATTTTTTATTTTTCATTTTGTTGAAAAATAAACATAAAATGGTCTCATAGTCAGGTGAGATGCCACCTCTTTCGCCTAAAAGATTGTATAATATTTTATCCTATATATTATATCAATCAGTGTCAGCCCATGCCATCTTTCATTAGATTAATTATAACAAATCTTTTATGGAGCATAAATAGCACCATATATAAATTAAACAAATAAACAACAACAAATCATCTAAATCTTTTCTATATACAATATCGCTCTATACACTAGAGTTTAATCCATTTTAAATTTGAAATCCATATTTTTTTTATTACAATTATTGGAAGTTTTTTTTTATATTATTACATTTTGCTTCCGTTTTGTGTTCTGCTCCTTTTAAACATAAATGCCATAAATGCACAGCCGCAGTTTGATAATAAAGTTCTATGAAGGAGAGCGGAAGCTTATTTGTGTGATATGAAACGCCGATTCAGCCATGAATTTTTTATATAATATTTTGTAACATATATGCACCTTTAAACCATCATGAATTCTCAACTCAAATTGCATTTTTATATTTGATAAATCAAGATACAAAATATGACATGGAAATAAAGTATAAAATTTAAAAATTATTTACTCACCCTTCTGGTGGTTAGGAAATCCAAACAGCCGAAAGGTCGCCTTCGGTTGTTTGTCGCAGAATCTGAAGTTTTGGGATAAGCAGCAGCGGAGTTGGGCTGAACACCCAGTGCTCATAATAGAGAGCGGTTGTATTGTTCCGCGTCCGTCCGCTGGGTCGTCCCAGAAGAAACTGACTGCTGGATTGCTCTTGCCTCTTCTCTTTATGCTATGCTGGCTGCAGTGTATTCGTGTGTAATGGGAAGGAGAACGAATACAAAACAACCATGTGTGGAGTGGAATAGTTTCGGTAACCCATAAAGCCGCTGCGCGCAGGCGAAAAATAAAAATTTATCATTTATGCCATTTATGGAAACTTGTACACGGCGCCTTCTAGTTTTAAAAATTGAATTTAATGTAATTGCAAATAACTTCATAAGATTCATGGTGATTTTAATTTAAGTTCGGCTTTTCCTCAATGATTGTGAGAGTTTTTATTGTTTTAAGGAAAAACAATATCCTGCTCTACATGTTAAAATTCAAATCACCATCATGAATCAACCCTCGGTCGTGAACTTCTAACAAAACTTCAAGATTTTTACATTAATATAGAAAATGGGATGAGCAATTATTCCAAATTTATCTTTATTTTTCGTATCTTTTAGGAAAATCTTAATTTCAAATTCAATCTTCTGGGTAATCTTCTGTTACCAGTTACAACAAAAAATAAAATCTGATTCTCAACACATACTTTTATACTTTTAAGTAAGCGCTGTTTTCACGAACATATTTTATTATTAGGGGTAAGTGGCCGTGTGCGAAATCATTATTCATTGTTAAAATTTTAGTACATATTGGATATTATCAATCATTGAGAGATTGCTTTTACACACTTTTAAAAAAGAAAATTATCAAACAAGTAAAATAAAAAAAAAAATAGTGAACAAAACGATAAAAAATAAATAGCATATTAAGAATATAGAAATGATAAATCAGATCATAGTATAAAATCTAACTTTTTTATTTTTAGTAAGCCGAAAAGAACTGGATTTTTGTTTTTGTATATTTTATTTAAAGCCCAGCACTCCAATCGCACTTTATAAATATATTTGTAAGCAAGTAATGTTAAATCAAGATTAAAATGAAATGTTAAAATTGGTTAAAATGGTAAAAATTATTTACTGTAAGATCGTAAGATGTATCAAGATAACATTAATGGATTTACATGGAATAATAATTATTGATAATTGATGTTGCACCAAAAAATCTGCAAACACAAAAATCCACGAGGAGAAACGAAAAGGGAGACACACAAAGATCTTGGCAAGGCAGTGTAAGTTGGCAGTGTATTTGACAGCGGGCAGCGCGTGTGCGTTCTTCCCGCCACTTTTATTCAAACTGTTAAACTTTGAATCCTTCACTTACGAACACAGTTTTTAGGGCTTTAATTTTAATTTTGAAGATTTGATCAGATAAACTTCACATATCTGATAATATAAAATTTTTAAAGCCTTAACTATTTATAAAATATCTCTATTAGGTATAATACAAGGATTGAAAAGGCACGATTCGGCTAACTTGACTAGAGAGTCATTTGTTTTTCTCGCTCACTTCCGGTAAACAGCAGCCGTCGATACTCACGTGAAAATGGTAAATTCTCTATTTTAATTTCTCATCATCCATTGATGGAAAGCACTTTTCATTTTAATTATTCATTAGATATTTTATTTAACTCTTAATCTTTGAAATAACTGCCGTCGATTGTAAATTTTTCTCAAAAATATCCATCAAAATAAGCATCAAAGTCGGTGTCTGTAAGACCCTTGGATCAGTCTGTTGCTTTGTTGTCATTCATGTTAGAAAACGAGTGATTACAATTTGAATTAATGCAAATTAATATTTTTTAGGCAAAGAGAACGAAGAAGGTTGGAATCTGCGGAAAGTATGGCACCCGTTATGGTGCCTCACTCCGTAAAACGGTTAAGAAGATGGAGATCACCCAGCACTCCAAATACACTTGCTCGTTCTGCGGAAAGGTATGATTGAAATTCACAATTCACTGAATATGCCCATTACAAAATTTCAAGCCCTTCTGATATTTAATAGCACATATTATGTAGTTGATTAGTTGCCACTCCACACAGAAAATATAAATTTACTCGTCCAAATTGGATTTGATAGTTGCCTTTTATTCCGTCTGTTGTGCGTGGTTTTTGACAGAAAATTATTCCTATTTTTTGTTGAAGTTTGTTGACCTTAACCATTTTTTCAGGACTCGATGAAAAGGAGCTGTGTTGGCATCTGGTCTTGCAGGAGGTGCAAAAGGACAGTCGCTGGAGGCGCCTGGGTTTATAGCACCACTGCTGCTGTTTCTGTCCGCTCCGCAGTGAGGAGATTGCGTGAAGTTAAGGAACAATAAATATAAAATTAATATTAAATTTAAAAACTGTCAGTTTTGTTCATCCACAAACACATAATAAATTCAAGGTTCATACTAGTTTTCCCTTTTGTCAGTTTGAGCAATAGGTGCTATATAAAATTTAATTCTTCAACGTCCGCATTTTTTTTAAGTGCTGTGGACCGACAACCATAATGAATGCTTTTTAAACGAGCTACATTATTTTTATTATATCTGGAATCGGTATTACAATGTTTAACAATTTTTGAATTTTTATATTTGATTATAAGAAGCAAGTAATTTTATTGAGATCTTCAGTTTAAGAAAAGAAGTGTTTCTTTATCCAAATTCCAGGGAGCTAAATAAGTTGATTGATTTCTGTGCATTTAGCATTTCAACATTTTATTCAACACCTTGAGGATTCTATTGCATTTTTTTGGTTGGATACACTGAAAAGAGAAACATCCCTCGAACATATTAAGTATTTTGAATGTTTTCTGTTTCAATTTTTCCAGGTTAATATTTACAAAAAATAATTAAAGCCAGCTGATATGAGTGATTTTTATGACACATTAAACATACTATGCAGCAATGGCATACTTCCAATCAAAACAGCAAACATGAGTATTTTTCAAGTATGCCCAAATAAAGTTTTTTACCACAAGAGACAACACGCTACTTACATGCTCAAGGAAATACATCCACTCAAGTATAACACTATCTCTTCCCATTCTGCCTTGTACAAGATTGGCAAATTGCGGCTACGTACGACACTAAAAAAACTTATCAAACAAAATAATATAAAAGCTCAGTAGATAAACATTATAAATCCTAACGAAGTAAACATACGAGTCTATGTAATTAAAAACAAAAACTCAATCGAGTTTAGCAGACTAGCAATTCAAGTCTTTTCACAAGTCCGTCAAATTTATTTGTCCTTGGTTATTCACTTTGCACTAAAACTCACTGCCGAGCCTGTGGAGGACACGGCTGAATTGTACATTCACCGAGGTCCTGCACTGACCTCAGCAGTCTTTCTGTCGACGCTTGCGGCTGCGACGATGAACTCGAACTGGCCACAAACATTGAAGAGTCTGAAGTTGGCCGTGGGGCAATGCTCCTCACCGGTCGAACTGGACCGGCCGCAGGTACTTTGAGTTTGGCAGCGATTTTGTTTTGCAGCACGGCTGCGCCGGTTGGTCCGTGCCGCAACACGTGCTGCTTAAGTTTGTCTTGGCGGGCGAAACTTTTGCCACACAATTCACACTCGTAAGGTTTCTCGCCGGTGTGCAGTCTGCGGTGCCGCTTCAAGTGAGCCGACCTGAAGAATGCCAGGTGGCAGAAATCACACTTAAAGGGGCGGAATTCCGAGGTTGAGTCTTGCTGGGGCTGTGTCAGCTTTGCGTCCTGGTCCATCTAAAATGATATGGTAATCAAGCAACCGATATTTCAGACTTTAAATTTAAATAAGGTTATCAAATGGTCAATACTTTAAAGACAAAACAATTATTGGAATTATTGTTGGTACCTTAAGGCAATTGAGCTGTTTTTTTTTTAATTTAAAAAAGTATTAATAACATTCACATTCAATTTATTGAAATTTAAAGAAAAATAAAGGAGAGGAATAGCAATGTAGAATTTTTTTTCATAATTAGTTCCATAAAAATTTAAAGAGCTTTGTTAGAATGATTTTTCACCAAATGCCATTTTTAATTTGCTACAAAACAATTTCAGAGCTGTTCCAGAGATTTTAAGATCTGAATCTAAAACATCAGACAAATTATAGTAGTATTATTGATTTACGGGTAGATTTGCCGGGTCTTCGTCTTCATCAAAAGCGCTGTCCAAATGGTGCAGTCCTTGAAATCCCAAGAGATCAGCTGTGGGGTCCAAACTAAAGGGTTCAGGTTTCACATCCACCATGAGTTGCTCGATCATGGAATTGGCCAAAGGTTTATTGGAGGATTTCTTGGAAAGAGTCACATCATTGTTTCCCTGCAGATAAAGCATTTAATTTAAAAACAACCCAATAATTAAAAAAATCAACTACCTGCAAAAGTGAGACGAGCAAATTATTCGAAGTCGAGTCCTTGGAGTCGGTGCTCAAACTTGAGCTGGCGTACGAGTTAGGTATGGGTAAGATTTCCAGTCCGTTTAAGTCATCATTGGGGAAGAGTTCCAGTCCAGGCGGGGTGTCGTCATCCTTATCGTCCATCTCCTCCACTTCAGGATCGAAGACCTCCTCCTCTTCGAGATTGCTCTCGTCTTGCTTGTCTCTTCCAAGCAACTTATCGGAGAGTCCTCGGACGGCCAGCATGGTTGCCGTTTCCACAAACGACTCAATCTCGTCCTGGACGACGTTCAGCTCGCCCTTATACATGTACTCAAGAACTTTCTTCATCTCGGCCAGGGGCACGTCATTCATTACGATGATAGGGTTGTTACAGGGGTGATCCCTCAGCAGGACGTCAAAGAACGGACTGCAGGAGGAAAGAATGATCTTGTGCGCCCTGAGCATACCACCGTCGCAGCATAGAGTGACATCCACGAACTTCTGCTCCTCCAGCAGCGCGTCAAACAAACAACTCAGGTTCTGCAGGTGGTTGTCCCACTTGAGACGGAAAACCTTTGACGAATTTTCCTTCGGCATCGCGCTGGTTACCCTAGGCGTGTCGCAGCCGCATCAAAAATCAGAGTTTGAGCCCAGAGAGAGTGCAAAATTGTCCGAAATTTCGAAAGTTTGGTCCTTACTGTGAGTCAAACCAAACTTGAACCTTGGAAAAAGCAATAGTGCCACACCCCCTTTTGACGTAAGTATATTTATTTTGGTTGGTCGCCAGCGCTGCGACGGCGTCGTTCACAAACGCGCCAGTAAACAACAAGACAAGTACGACTGTTTTGCGCGTCTGGCTTTTGTGCCAGCTTGTGCTGTCACTTTTGAGGTGTCTGGCTAAATATTTTTATTTGACCTCAAGAATTAAGGACTACTATTTTTTCATGTCGTAAAAACGAGACTAGAAATGCCGGTAAATATTCACGAGTTAACAGAAGGCTGGCTGGAGTTGGAAAGTGACCCAGGTTTGCATCTCTTTGTGATAATACATTATAACATTATTTTATGTGTGCGTGCATTTTACTGATTATTTAAACCATTTTTGCAGGTCTTTTCACACTTTTGTTGGAAGATTTTGGTGTCAAAGGAGTTCAAGTCGAGGAAATCTATGACGTGCAGCGGCCGATTGAAGGCCCCGTCTACGGTTTCATTTTCCTCTTCAGGTGGATCGAGGAGCGCCGCTCCAGGCGAAAAATTGTCGAAGAGGCGGAGACCTTCGTTCGGGATGATGATTCCGTCAACAACATATTTTTTGCACAACAGGTTCAATAAAAAAATAATAAATTATGAATTCAAAAAAGATAAGTTAAAGGAAACATTTTCAACAAAAATTTTTATTTTAGATGGTTCCGAACAGTTGCGCCACACATGCCCTGCTTTCGGTGCTTATGAATTACAATAACCTGAATCTAGGCTCAACCATAAGCAGGTTGAAAGAGCACACATCTGGAATGAGTCCTGAAAATAAAGTTAGTAAATATTAAAAATGTTAAAATTTAAATCTATCAGAAAATAATTTTTCTTCAGGGCTATGCAATTGGAAACGTCCCAGAGCTAGCAAGAGCCCACAATTCTCATGCAATTCCAGAGGCCAGGAGAATGAACGACAAGTCTTCGAGTGTCAGCACAGGACGTTTTACAGGGGAGGCATTCCACTTTGTCAGCTACGTTCCTATAGATGGAAAGCTGTTTGAGTTGGATGGGTTGAAACCGTTTCCAATTGATCACGGTATTTTACTTAAATTGCAAACTATGAAATTTACTTAATTATGATTTAAAGGGCCCTGGGGAGAAAATGAGGATTGGACAGAAAAGTTCAGACGAGTTATTACCGAGCGGCTCGGCATTGCCAATGGGGAGCAGTGCAAAGACATAAGATTTAATTTGATGGCTGTTGTTCCTGATAAAAGAATAGCGCTGAATAACAAACTAGAGCTGCTAAAGACAAATAGGTACTGTGATAATTATAATAATTTCCATAATTGAATTATTTATAAACAAAAAATCTAGGCAAATAGTCTTGGATGCTTTGAAAACGCTTGTCAGTGAAGCAAAACAAAATGCTGACAAAAGTAAAAAAGGTGACAAGCCTGGAAGATCAAGCAGAGGTATTTCGAAAAGTCATTTTGTGTCTAAAATATTTATTGATATGCTCTACAGACGTTGAGAGGTTTGACGGAGGAGAGGCACAGAAGCCTGTCGATTTCAGCACTCCCTTAACAGTTCAAACCTCACCTGCCTCCAGCACAGACACACTATCAGACATTGGCTCTGCGGGCTCAATGAACTCTCCCGTTCCTAGTAAGCAATTTCATCTTGAGAGCAAAATTTGTTTTCTATACACACAAAATGCAAAATTTTAGACTGGACTATCCAATCTGGCCAGGGGAGTCCAAATTCTTTAAAAAAGCTTGTAGTTGTCAAAGTTAGCAGTGGGCTAAATTTGCCTGGTATGTCAATAGCAATTTTACATTGAAAATTTATAATTTATGAGCCAAACATTACAATATTTTTAACATTTTCAGGAAAAAGGGTTCTGAGCGAAGCATCTGAAAGTTGCTCAGAAGCAAAAACCCTCAAGTTTGAGGAGTCGGAGGCCGGTCCGTCTGACAGCAATGACAGTGAGGCAGGAGGAAAAGACAATTCAATGACCAAAGTCGATCCAAAATTGGTGGCCAAATACCCTACACTTTTTGGGCCACACACTTTTGCTCCAAAAGATTTGCTGGCTCTTCTAAAAAATCTTGACAATGGAATCCAGCAGTGTGAGCAGAACATAAAGGAAGAAACTGAAAAGAGGAGGAAATATAAGGTTGCACTGAAAAAATTTAAAAAAAAAAATGCTGATTTTAAATTTTTTAGGTTGATGATTCGAGACGGACGCACAATTATGATGAATTTATCTGCACATTCCTGACCATGCTCGCTCACGACGGCAAACTAGCTGATTTGATTCAGGAAAACTTATCTCAGCCCAAAAAGCTGGGAGCAGCTTCTACTGGGAGGAGCAAAGGGTAAGTTTAAGCAAGCTATTGAGCAGCTTTTTACCTTTTTATCTGTTGAATCTCAGTGCACCAAAAAAATCCACTCAGTCGACTCAACAGTCAACAAGTCCAGGCACTGGAAAGCAGAGAGGGAGGAAGAAAAAGAAGAAATAAGGATTTATGAAATTAAGATTGTTGATTTGGTTACAATAAATTATATACACGGCACTTGCAAAAAAATTGGTCATTAATTTTTTTAATTAAATTTAGTTCTATTGCAATATTAAATTTTCCTCACGCTTTATATGCACAAGCAAATTGCTAACATAATTATAAGCGTGTGTTACATAGAATGTGTCGTGCGTAAAACCATGAGTTTTGCGCAATTTATTCAAGCATCAAGATAAATTTTCCGCCACTTATCACGAAATCCACGAAATTAGGTCATTATTGCCAACCACGCGGTTTAGTTCTGTCACTTTTTCCCATTAAATCATGCAAGTAATTCTGCAAAGCTAATTAAATTTCCAGCAGATATGTTCAATTTTGCTTCAACCATAAATCAATTGAATTTTTGCTGTAGATTGCTTAATCTTTACATTCTGAAGAATTGCTCCTGGTTTATGTTGGCAACACTGCAAAAGTCAATACAATGCGCGAAGAGCCAAACACATCCGTGTATATACTGCAGGACAGTTTGATGGAGTAAAAGTAAAATGTAAAAATCTGGCCTAAGCAACAGTGAATTAGATTTTCTAGCAGTAGAAATTAGCCGAAGTCTTCTCTTGAACCCTTGATAGGTGAGTTTTGAGGCTTATACTGTCGCCTATCCGCATAATCTGACCCCAGGACTAACGCCCTTTGCAGGATGCGTTCAGCTGCAGCACTATAGTACATTGACTGCGGAGGAGCGACCCGATTGTTTGAGTGACCCACGTCTTGTGTCCGCATGGCCTCTTCAGAGCTGAAAAAGGCGCCGCTGGTGGCCGTGCTGCCAGCCGCCGCCGTCTGTCCCTACTCGTCGTGCTACTGTGAAGAAAACGTTTGGCAAATGTGCAACCTCGTCCGGCAGCAGCACCCGTCCGAATTATCCCGCTGTCACGTGGTCTTTGTGTCCAACGAGTCCAGAATGGTGCCTCTGTGGCGGCAGAAGGCCGGACGGGAGGAGGACAAGCTTGTCTTCTGGGACTACCACGTGATACTTTTGTACCAGCCGGACGAGCGCTGCGTTGTCTACGACCTTGACTCGCAGCTGCCGTTCCCCACCTACTTCCACAAATATGTGACCGAGACCTTCCGCACCGACCAGATCCTGAAGCCCACCTACTTCCGGTACTTTCGCGTTGTCCCGGCCACCGTCTATTTGCAGACCTTTTCCTCGGACAGGAGCCACATGCGCAAACAGGACGGAAGCTGGACCAAACCGCCGCCCTCCTGGCCGTTGATCCAGAATGGCGACGGCGACAAGATGAACCTGGACTCGTTCATCAGCATGGACACCAGAAAGGGCTGCGGAGAGGTCTTCAGCCTCACTGAGTTTGTCAAGAAATTCTTCAAAGTGCCCGGAAGCGCCAACTAAGGTCAAATTAATTATGATATTTATTTATGGAAGCCTTCCACGTTATGGTGCTGAATTTCTTTGGTTGGAATTTTGTGAGCTTATCCATTGAGACGTTTTTATTTGTGCTGAGTTTAATGCATTAATGCATTTTATGAATATATTAATATGTTCCTACTTTTTTACTACTCGTCTGCATTAATTGAAAGAAGTGTGATGTAAGGTAAAAAGAGCTATAATCATTGATTGCGACAAATTTATCCCATTTTAATTAAAATACAAATTTTACCGCACGACGTCACAAGCCTGCCCCTTATTTTCTCGGCAGTCTGACCAAAAAGATCCAGCTGAGAACGCGCACAAGCAACCTGAATCAAATTGGAAAGGCCAAAATTTAAAATTTATTAAATACTTTTAAAATAATAACCTAATGCAAATTGCACTAATTACGCATCAAAGCACAAATATTTAAACAAAAATTAATGAAAAAACCTAAACGAGCTTCTGAACTTGGTTATAAATTCTGCAGCAGCGCTAAAACCATTTTAGCCAGCAGAGTTGCTGGATTTTGCATGGTAAAATTTTTTTGCAACACTAGCGATTTACGCGCATACATTAAGCGCAAATCCAATCAAAATGCACAGCGGCGTCTGTTTGCTTTGCAGCCCTGTGGCGAGGTCCTCTTCATCCCGCGTAATCTCGTTCCCCGCACAAGCGAGCGCCTGCTTTTAGTGGAATTATACAACTTGTGATACATGCCTGCCGGGCGGGCTTGCATATTTCGAGAAAATAAGGGGCTCTGTACGCGAGCATCTCGCACGCGAAATAATATATTACTGATAAACTTGCATAGAAAAAATTGGCATTTATCTCTTTCTCTATAAAATATAATTATCTCGCATTGCGCTTGAATTTTAAACATTTTATTTAGAGTTTATGCACAGTTTCAAAATTAAAACTCTCATCTATAGTGTTTGTTAACAAAACAAGGCAATATTTTCCCCAGTTTCATCTAGCGGTTGATAACTATTCTCTATATTATATTCCAACTAAAGTTAATCAACTATTAAAAAAATACATATACCTTCTAAAATATTGCAAGTTTCATCTTCTATAACATGGTTTTTGACTCTTGACAAGGGAATTTTTGACATTTACAAACAAATATATCTACAAATTATGCCAACTTACTAAATTTACCAACTCGACTTACATAATATGATCCAATCGCACTTGGTCTGCGTTCGTCACTTTCAAATTTCCACTAAAGCACCTATACCACCAACTTTTAACATACTATTCTCACTCTATTTCCAAGCTGCCTTTGTTCAACCTGACTAGTCCCCTGCGCCACTTAAATTTTATGTGCAGATTTTGGGTACGTTTCTATTAAATTCCCACGCTTAATTCATCCTTTGTCGTTCCAAACTCTCCCCATTTCCGCTACCGTTGTACCGTTTCTCGCACTATGAAGCTATACATATATATAATAAATAAACTGAATTCTACTCGGGCTATTTTGTCCTTTTTAATATGAATTGTATACTCAATATTATATTTACTGCTATTGCATCCAGCATAATATATTTGAAAAATATACATGTACACTTTATTGATCTCGTATTATATATACTGTATTGCATGATGGAACTGATTTACATTTAGTTGTTTACATTTCATAGAAGTGAAATTCAATAATAAAACATAAATATGCTGCTTTCTTATAAATTATGATATTGACAGACGCAAAATGTTAAGAAAAAAAATATTTACCTAACTCAAAGTATGAGAAAGCAAAAAGTTGAAACGGTCCTTTTTGAAGTGTCCTTATTACAGCAGTTGTTTTCAATATTTGATTTTCCAATGAATTATCACTTGAAAATTTAAAACAAAAGTATATTTCACGCATGGCGATTAAATAACGCGAAAAAAGTTACTACACCCTGAAAAAGCGTTTGCTTCGCAAATTCCAGTTATATACTAAAAATAAAAGAATGAAATATGTTATCAATACATACAAAAACAACAACTGTTTCTATAATTGATTGATGCTGTGCTTTATATTGAGAATTACTGAATATGAATAAAGTTTGTCGAAATTCTGATATCATTGTGTTTTTAAAAAGCTCCCCCCCCCCCCAATGAAAGGCGAAAATTGATCTAGTGTAGCGCAATATTTTTATTATCACATCACACATAAACTATAACTATTCTGAAACAGCTCATAGCAACACATTGTTTTTTCTATAAAGATTACAAATTGGGATCGAACACTCGAATTCCTACGAAAATTTCTCGCAATAAAACGCGGAGGAATGTTTGGTGTTCATTTAAGTGTGAATTTGAATAAATTCCTTGGTTCCATTTTTAAAAAAAAATTTTGAATAACATACGGTTGGATGTCTGTCACATAATTCAGAATCCAAAGATCTTATACATAAGCTGGTCTGTTTTTTACTCATTATATGTTATAATATAGAAATGTGTCAAGTGGATATGTTCAGATAACAACACTCGTTTCCACCATTTGTTTTTCATCGAAAACTATGGATGGCTCTTGCCCAAGCCCAACGGTCAATATATTATTATATATGTTTCTGTCTTCTCTTTTATGGAGATTTCCTGCTCTTTCAACAGTTAGATCATTAATCTCTCTATCATCCAGTTTACTTACTATAATATAGATTTAATTGATGAATCACACATAGGCGCTTTTTAAGTAAAAAATAAATGACATTCTCTCTCTCCACAATCCCGAGCTTTCCAACTCTCCCATATATTTTGCACTCAAAAAATCTTTCTTTTGTCCTCTAAATTAGTCAAAGTCGGTCCACTGAGCGCGTTTCTGTCACGAACAGAACAGGTCAATACTGTTGTGCTGCTCATTCCAAGGGTTTTTGGTGGAGTGGGACGAGGCCGTCGTTGGGTCCAGACTGATGGATCGCGGGGGTGGGTTCAGGGGACGTGAGATTGGGGTGGTTGAGGTGCTGCTCCTGCTGGCCGCCAGCCGGGCAAAACTTGAGTTCAGATTTTCAAATTCGTCGTCCTCAAAACACACCTGCAGACAAAATTTGAAAATAAAATTAATATCAAGTATTGGCGTCAATGTTTATCTACATTTTTTTCTATTCAAACACAAGAATAGTAATTCTCCTCAGATTTTATTACAAAATTTGCATTCAACTGTAAAACTTGACACTTTCTGTGATAAAATAGACGTTGTTTTTTTTGTCACGCAACTGCCATGTAATTTAATTTAATGCAAGTGCGCACTTACCCAGTTGGTGGGTTCCGTGCACGAAGGCACCTCCGACGAGAGGTCGATCAAGAGACTGTGGCTGCGACTTTTGGGGATGCCATCGCTCCTAGCCTTTTCTGAAAAAGTAATATAAAAGTGAGCTTAAGTTTGCAAGAAAAAAGTTTGATTTATGCCTTTGATGGGGTCGTCTTCGTTTTGCGTGTCGGAGGAAGAGTTGTCAGTTTTTTCTGGCAGCAAGTCATGCTTGGCCTGCGATATCTGCCAGAGCTCATAGGCCATGGTAAACGACTGAGCGATGGTCATGGTCACAGCTTGCGCCTGGAATCCAGAAACAAAAACACAAAATGAAAAAAAAGCAACCTCGGTTAGAAATTGAACCAATTGATTTCAAACAGTATTTCCCATCTTTATTTCTAAATTTTATAATAAAAGTTATTTTTCCAAACCTTCTATTTTCCATATCATCATTTCTATTTTCATAAATTAAGCTGCTTACAATGAATTAAAAAAAAATATATACTTAACTAATTTACATTCAATTCAAACCTTTTGAAATTAGAACAATTGTAAAAAATTTAATTATGTCAAAAAAAATGTGATTGCTGGTTTTGTAAACATAATTGTTTTGATAAAAAAAAAATTGCGTACCACTTTTCGTTTTGGGCACAGAAAAGCGTGACACTCCATTGTCTCGTTGCTGTTGGTTGCGATGAAAGCAAACACGTGGTCATAAGTGGCGTCAGCCGAGCAATACGATATTCTGAAATTAAAAAGTGATTTGATTGTTTAAAAATTATTAGAAAACATGAAATGAGTTTTTATATATGTACCTGTAGATGGAGACGTCCAAGTGGATTTCGTCCGTGGCGATGTCGACCATCCTGATGCCGTTGAGTCCGACCGTCAAACTCACCCTCTGCAGTTTCTTGCTGCTCGCCTTTGCCTGCAGCACAATAAATTTGGTGTGGTGAGAATAACGCTGGATATTGACTTTTGGCGCAAGTGAGAAAATTACATAAGTGCGTGAACGTTTGATGCCAGAAAATTGGTGTGTGCAGACAGGCGGAATTGGCGGGTTTAGGAAATTGGCGTCGCCTCTCGTTCAAGCGTAATTTATCCGCCTTGAGGCTCTGTATATAGAAAAGTGCGCAGCGCCTCTTGTTTCTCTTGCAAAATGTAAATGACGCGGGCAAAGAGGCTCGTTTAAAATAGCATGCTTTTCTTTGAAGATGGGCTCAAAAGAATTTAATTTCAGCTTTTATGGCCCCCAGGAAAATGCGGGAAGTTAAAGTCGGAAAAGCTTTTAGCGCTCACCATTGTTATGACGGTCTTGATGGCCTCAGCAGTGGAGCCTTCGCCGTTAGGGGTCTCGACCAAGGTGCTGCCCAGATATTTGACGTCGAAAGAGACGCCCTCAAGGTTGGTGTTCGATTCTTCTTGCTTGCTCAGCACAAAGTCCTCTGCGAGCTCTGGAAAAGGCACAAAACAAGAGCACCCTTGAAAATGAGGCTATCAAATTTCCACGTGCCTTATCGAACTAGAACTGGGTTACATCAAGTAATGCGAAAAACTTAAACTATAGGTAAATTATAGTTTTCGTGAGATTTAAAAAAAAAAATCTTATAGAGTTGTTTAATATCAATAAACACAATTTGCAACTAATAAGATTGCTTAGCGTATAATATGACGTTGTAATTTTATCTCGCAATGGATTAAAATAATTGCGAAAAAAATGACAAATTAAAATGTGATAATCGCGAAAAACAAACATTATGAAAAACTCTTGCGTCTTTCTTTGCTGATCTCACAAAAACTCGTCGCCGTTTGCAACGACTACGAATTGACCTAGTGATCTTGCGCGGCGCTCATTTATGTAAAAAGGACATCACGCTTTTGCGTGCGGAGCGAAGTTCACCAGAGATGAAGTTTCATCACATTTTTTGCTGTGAACGACGATTTTGTTTGTATCTCTTTTCCTTCATTCGCAGAGTTCAGCGCATTGTTTGTAAACATTGATGACGTTCAGAAGTGTCACTTGGAATAAATATTGAAATGTGCTGACCACGTGGTCTCCGTGTTTTATCGACCCTTGCCCTATCAACTTTTCTTGTTCCATAATTTATCCATGCATGCCAAGAAGGATATAAAAATGAAATTAATACGCATCAGACACGCTGAACTGACGATGATCTTTGCTATATATAAAAACAGTGTTCTACTATTTACAAATGCGGTAGACTTTTAATTAAAAAGGGTTCATTGGTCTGATAAGCGATCAGTATAATAAATAGTGAGACAAATCGATTAAGTCTGCAAAAGACGGTTTAAGATAAAAAAAAAATAGCTTGTTTCCTAAAAAATAAAAACAATATTTTTGGAATAAAATAGGTTTTAAGGGAACCAGCTACTCCAATACTCAAAAATTTCCAAGTAAAAATAAATATTAATAAATATGTTATACCTTCAATATAATTATGCAAATTATCATAATATTTGGCCATGGGTAAGACATTCTCACTGTCTGATCAATTTTGAGAAAGAGCCAATACTATCAGCCTTGGTATAGCGTTTATGAATTCCAAATTTAAATAAGTGGCACGCTCGTCCTTGTCTGCACGATTCAAATTATTACTATGTAAAAATTCACGTGGCAAACGCGGGACCAGCCTTGTTCGTGCGCCAATATGATTTAACTCTAAAAATAATCTCTGCCCTCGTCTTTAAAAGCAGAAAGGTGCATATCATTATAATACAACGGGAATCAGGTCACACAGCACAGATCTTTATTTTGGTTGGCGGGTGGAGAAGCAAGAGATGGACCGCGACGAGTGCTGGGATGTGCTATCGAAAATCGCCGGGGCAACGCACTGCTTTTGATTTGGCGCATTTCCCGAGGGAACCGGTGCGCATTGCCAAATTCTGCTGAGGCCACTTAGAGGGCGAATTGGCTAATTTCAGGCGGCCGAGTGTACCAGAGAGAATTCGACCGAGAGCGGTCAATAATTTGGCGACAAATTTTTAGCAGTGACAATTCAATTATTTTTAGTTTCAATAATGATTTTTACAATTGAAGCACAAAGTTTTTTTTTTTTAAATAAAAGCCGAAGTCTCTTTGGTTTTATAAAATTTGAAAAGTTAAAGTCCTGTAAAATTTTTATTTTCGATACTCGGTATTTTTATGCATCGTTTATTGCTATCGTATTGATTCAATTTTACTAATTTTATTTAGTTGAACTTATAGCTATTTCAAAATTCGTACAGAAACCAAATCACCCTGACGTATGCAGGAATTGACCTGCAAACAGTATAAAACAAGCTTGGATCTTTTAAATAAACGAAAGTCGAAAGCTGATTTTCGTTGACGGCCAAATGCCATCAGTCTGACAATATTTACAGTCTGAATGCTCGCGTACAAAAACTTGATCAATTCGAACAGCGAGAGCTTTGTGAGCAACTTTTTTGCTTCATTTGAGTTCTTATTTTTCAAGCCTCGGATAGCGGGAGAAATTAAGAGCGCGGCCTAATTGCTCCCGTATAAGATATTCTCAGTCTAAAAGCAAATGAAAATGAGCTCCATTTCGCGTCTCAGATACATGGAATTGAATTACATCCCGAGTTGTCGACTGATTGAATGCATAAGTAACAAGCCGAGAAAAGCAGAGAGCAGCGGTTTTGGGAGAACAATGCTGTAAAAAAGCACGCGCGCGCGTCTCTCACCGAATTTATTTACTCTGCAGTGCGCGTGTTCCCCAGCACTGATTTCGTGCAAGGACTTATTTATGCGCATAAATTTCCCTTAAAGAAAAATGACGACGCTGCGTGCGGGACAAGAAAAATGATACTTTCCTGTGACACGTCTTGAGTGCGGAGCTTGGATGTTTTGTTTTCGAGAAGATACTGTTGGCAAATCACTCTACGAGTGGTGGTAAATATAGACTTCGCGGAAAGAAACACCAAAATAAATATCTCCCTTAAAAAGCACGGCTCATGCTCGTGCTCTCGTCCATTGAAGCAAAACTCTTATTTACATTTTGGTAAAATTGAAGAATAGAAAATTCAATATTATTTTAATAGTTTGCAAAAGCGAGTGAATTTAATTTTACTTCAATGATTAGAAAAAATTGACTTGCTTTTTCTATCAAACCGTTCTCCTCTATTATTAAACAAATTACTCCCTGCGTATAATTAAACTGTAAAATACCGACAAGGTTTGCACCCATTAAGCAATTATAGATTGAGAAGTTGGAGTGTAATAAGAAAATCATCTCTGTGCACGTGTATACTTTCCTCCAATAACCAGCACCTTGAGAGGCAGATCATTATTATTTTAATCGCTCCGCCATTGAGCGAATGACCTATAAAAATCGCGTCTACTTCACTGTAATTACCCATTTTTAGTGCACGGCACAACAAGTTATTGCTGGGGTTACGATCCGCATATGAAATGAGTGTCCCTTTTTCGCTCTGCCGCCTTATTTTTTTTCAGTTTCAGCCAACTGATGATGGTGCGGTATATCACTCTCGAGGGGATCGTAATTGTTATTACGGCTGAGGCAATTACGATTTTGGCCCAAAGCTGTGCAATATAACAAACGAGGGTACCGCACGCGGAATTTATAATTTCCGTGACGTCAATGCCCGTCTGCTGTCCATAAAATTGAATTGGTTGATATAATATAAAATTCATAACTATAATTTCTCTGTAAAAAAGCCATCTCTCATTTTCGTTTGACAATCCACCCAGCACAAATGTGTGTCCGTACAGAATGCTATGGGCCGTGAATGGTTGAATGGAATTTCCTGCCATTTCGCTGCGTGAAAATTTCTTTTCCAGAGGCGAGATTTCTCAAGCAGAACTACACTTGCCACGAGTGAAATGGATTGGAAAGAAAAATACGGCGGCGGACGCGTTTACATTATGGAAAATATTCTGGGCACAACTTCTTTGCAGGTTATGGTTCGTAGAATTCTCTGCACATACAGCGAGAGATCGATGAAAATCCTTTTCCCAAGTTAAGCCTGGAGGCTGTTTTATGGCTGCAGGGGTAAAACAGGATCTGCGACCAGCTCCATCCGAAGCAACAAAGTGCATTCCGTGCAAGACCGCGCGGCGCAATTATCGACCAGGAACTTGTATAATTTCGGCAGGGAGTACAATGGCAAAGGCGCCGGATGAATTTGTGTATGATGCTTTGATGCTCCAGCGCTTTATTGTGTGTATTTGCATGCTACGAGAGAGTGCGGCTGGTTGTGGGCTCGGCGCCAAGTTGGAGCGGCGCCAACGGCGTTGGATTTTATTCGCATCCAATCATATCAACTCTCAAACGGGTCCAAAGATAAATAGAACGCCTGCTTTTTTCATGAGATATATCCAGAGGTTTTGCGAATTTTATTACATCATCCGCGAAATTGGTTTTTCAGAGGGATAAAATTTAGCACAGATTTAGTTGCTCAGCTTTGCTAACGACTTTCTATAATTATTTAATTACTTCAAATACTGTTGAGTTTTGTAGTACATTTTTTAAGAAAAATTTTAAAATCATTTAATTTCATAATATAATTGTTTAAAATTTAAATCTATGATTATGTTGAATATTCGATCAAATAAAAAGTTCATTCATATCTTTTAAATATAAATTTGTATATACAGTATCTTTGCTTTGGGCCTAAATGAGATAAATTTTAAAATAATTTGAATAATTTTCACAGTGTTATCGGCAAATTCAAAGGCAATCTCCAAAAAGATTTGAAATATTAATTTTTTTATTGTGTTAATATTATGATTTTTCACTCCGCATATCATACATTAATTTAATTTCCCTTGCCGAGGCCGGCGTTGGTTTTTCGTGATTAAAAAGTCGGTCGCCGCATACACTTTTATACTGTGTGAGAATTATTCATATATAACTTAAGAGCAAGAGATTTTCTTTCGTGCAGTGCGCTCAACCATCAACTTGATGAGGACGGGCAGATCCGCGAGTGCACAAAAACCGGAGCGCTTTAGTTTGAAATATTCATCTCATTCAGCAGGGCGCTCCTCCATTCTCATTCATGTGAGCATATGGTAGACAGCAGACGGAAAGAAAGGTTTTGCATTGTTTGTAATAAAAAATGCATGAGAAAAACGCCAACCCACCTCAAAAATTTAAATTTTAAAGGTACTAAAAAAGAGATGAGGATAAAAGTAGACGAACGTGTTATTTTCACAAGTGGACGTTGATTGCGTACTTAAAAAATTGACGTGTGCCGGAGAGTAATTTCATGCCCACAAATAAAGCAAATTGCGCAAAAGCTGCTGAAAACAGTACGTAATTCACGCTTTGTGGCTGCTTTTAAATTTTGGATCGATGTTTGTCAGCGCGAGGTCATGAAGGCATTTGTGCTAAAAATGCACAGCAGGTGCACACCCAGTAGGTACACCTGCACTAATTACACAATCTGCATTTGTCTTTCCTTTAAATAAACCAGC